TAGCTTTTGGAATTTTTTAGGGGTAAAATATGACGCTTATTGCTGCAAAACCCTCCATAAATTTCCTACCGTAATATTACAGTAAGGAAGAGAGTGGTAACGCCCTACACAGTAAATCTAAGTTGAAGCCAGCTCTACAACAGGATACCTACTTTTCAAAAGACTTGACAAGAGAGCTATTTACCATTAGTAGGCAACAGTAGGCACATTTTTTGGAACAACCTGTATATGTCTTATATCTGAAGTGCATACACTTTGTCTCCAATAGTTTGTGCGTTTATCCTAATCATTTCATTTAACTGCTGGATATAATCAGTCGAATTCTAGGAGCTCGAAGGCATGCTCATGAGAATTGGTGCACCATACGTTACCGATACATAAATGTGTTTGTACGACTTGAGGAGGTATGTGTTGTCGGTTATTAAACTTTTTCGTGAAAGTCTGAATTTAAGGGTGATCCCCCACCGTTCCGGACAAGGGAGAAGTTGAAAAACGGTTGGGAACACATGGAAGCTTACTATAAGTATCTCAGGTCACGGAGTAAAAAATATAGTATATGATATAGGTTTTTATGAGCACATTCTTATTCATAAACGATTTTGGTGATAAGATTGTGAATTCCATGGTGTTTCTGCGCCACTGTATCGAACATATGTGCGGAAGTTTGTGCATGCTGCACGTGGCTGCTTACAGATGGTTAATGTCAAGAAGGGTGTGTTAGTCACATGTGATCCAGCGATGAGGCAACTTCTCATGCATCTCGATGAATCGAGAACTCTTGGGAGCAAGTTCATTGTTAAGGTTTGTGCTGAATCCGAGCTATAGTTGCTGCATTCAATTGAATGAAATTCCTTGTTGAAATCACGTATCGTTGTTCAGCTGACCAGAATAAGTTCGTTCTTATTAGTAAGACGCGATTTTTCACTTCTTTCGTTCCCGCATAGTTTTAAAGTTTTGGGATCACATCTTGCAAGGGGAGGACGCGAAGTCGAATTGATTTCTACATGAGAATGATACCAGTCTGAAAAGCATCCGCTGATTCCAAAGGTGTCTTTGTTT